ACGTTTCCCTGGGTGGGTATTCACGGATGAGGGTTGACTTGGGGTGAAGAAAAAGCCGCCATAACTTTGCAGTGGTACTTGCAAATAAAATCTGAGGCGTGAGTACTCTTCTCTTGCGTTGAATTATCTGTTCTGTACTTTTCTTTGATATTGTGTCATAGCTAGATAGCTGCATACGCAATTAAAATCTGATGCAAAAAAATTTATATGTATTCTCTATCTACGAGCATTATGAACCTAATACTTCAGTGTAGAAGCTTTGCAAAAGAAAGTTTAAGATTATTTGAAAATATAGAACCGTTAAAGCTGCTAATTCTTTTCAGAACACAGGGGGACAGAGAAGCAATACTAGAATTTTTGAAGGCTTCTAGGTGCACATGTGGATCCAAAGTAGGTGCTTTTAATGTATCCAGGCACCTACTGCACAGACCACATCGAGCTTTAATTTAAGACTATTTGATATAGATTAGTTATCCTTTAATAATATATATGTTATCAATATTCTATCTTCAGAATCCACTGTATCAGAAATTTAATTGGTTGAGGATCTAATTGCCTCGTGATACCCGGAATTCTGAAAATTAGGAAAACACACACACACGCACATAAAGGAGATTGAATAGGTACTGTACAGTCTCTTAAGGATGCTAGAGCCGGCAAAGACGAATTCTTCACCTTCCAGTGGTGCCGGTGTAATCGCTCAGTATGCTCTGCATATCTGGGATAGCCAAGAAGAATCGCATCCGAATCGAAGTCGAAAGCAAACACATGCATATCTCCATTTGACGACTTCTCAATCATGCAGCACTCACCATCATCTTCTGGGTCCTCAACCCCGATCTAACCACATATCATCTCGCCTCGCCGGCCGATAAAGGCGTCACCCCAATTGCAAACAGGAGCTTGCCTCATTCATCACCGGCCATCACCCACCACAAATTTACGACGCTATTTATACCCGCAAGGAGGAAATTAAGCCATAATATACAAAGTTGGGGTCTTGGCTTATGGGGGACTGCTGCTCTTATGGGGTTATATATCTTGAGGATGGACAGGCGGCTGATACGTGGAGCGAGAGGGGAAACAGGTCTCTGAAGACCATGCTGGGACTGACATTCTCGAGGAGTTTTCAACTTTAGACCGTTTGTAGGAACCAAGATCGAGATTTTGGCTAATTAGCCAAGGGACTTCAATTGTCGATGAGTGAGCGGCACTCCCCAGCGCCCTGGAAGATACAAAAGAAGTTGGGCTAAGCTACCATACAACAACCACGCTCTATTAAGACCTTTCTGAAATTTCAGCACGACCTTCGGGATGGAGTTGAAAGGAGGCTAGAAAGGCAGGGAGTAAATTTCCCGAGGTACATACAAGTCTGCAGCGCCCAGCTAGCCGGCCTCTCCGAACGCTTCAGAAGGGGCACTACGTCTTCGGATTTAGTCCTAATATCGGTATTAGGAGAGCTCCGCACCCAGTGGTTTTTGCGATTTTTCCCTGCTGCCATACACCCGCAAATGGCCATTGTTTCGTTGGCTGGAGAGGGGAGATAATGAAGGGCTAAGGGCTCCTCTAAGTGTATGATCGAATGAGGACTTGTGAGGGGTGGTACTGTTTGAGGGGAGTTGTATGGGAGGCATAGGAAGGGGTTTTTTTTTTGCATCAGATTTTAGCATAGGAAGGGATATACTACTGGTATAAGTATCCTTGGCCTGTAGGCAGAGAGGACCTGCATGTCCTACATAGTTATAGACTCAGACAGGACAATAATATGAATTTGTAAGCAGAATTATATCTGCATAAGTGGATACAGTCCGTAGGCGAGATTATGATCGGTGACAGTGGTACAAGAGTTATTGTATCGTGACTCGGATAGCCTAGTAGGCACCAGAACTTGAGGTAATAGAAGAGAATAGAGTTTTATTTATGTCACTACTGAACTTGAGGTAATGTTCTGGTGTAGTGTAGAAAATGCTAGAGCCGAGGCTGTGCAGTCTGATGTTGAATAGCTCATGTATGGTAAGGGGTCACAGAAGGATATTTAGGGCCAGCCCAGATAGCCATTGTAAAAAGATAACAAAAAGACCCTTAATAATCTTTACAAATGACTTGTTCTCTCTATTTTACTCGCTCTATCACGTGACATCTAACGGTTTGCGCAACTTGCGTTTACAGAATTAATAATAATAAGGATGCTAGAGGTACAATTGTCAAAATGACCGGGGTTAGATACCTGTGCACATCAATTAGATTGGTTTAGTCTTCATGCAGGCCCATATCTAGTTCATCAACTAGTTATGCAAGCAGGGGTACTATCCAACGATATTCCGTGAAAGTCTAAATTATGGGGACGGTTTTCAACTAAAGGAAAAGTACGATGGTCCTCATTTAAAATTAAAAACTAAGAAAAATCAATTGATATTGTCGGCAAAGTCGAATTCTTCACCTTCCAGTGGTGCCGGTGTAATCGCTCAGTTTGCTCTGCATATCTGGGATAGCCAAGAAGAATCGCATCCTCCGCAACGGCAACTTGCTGAGCGTGGCCCAGTCGATTTCGATTGACACATGGGCTAGGTTCCGTTCCCGGCACGATAGATCGAAAGTTGAAGTTTGGGTCTCTTCTATTCGGTCTTCTAACAACTTCCCGATTGAGTTTGACTGGGAGGACTTTACGACTCACCAACAACCCTCCAAAATCAAAGGTAAAATTCCTTTCGCCTTCAACCTTACTAACATTGTGTGCAGGCTGGGCAATTGCTCGGCCTCATTTTAGACAAGCACCTCGACCGCGACATCAACATTCTCAACTTTTCGACACATTCCAAAGATGGCGCGAACGAAGAAGCCTCACTCAGACAACGAACAATGTACGACAAAAGCTGGGGCACCGATGCCTCGGTTTTGAGCTCTCGATTTCGGAATTTCAGCCCTCTCAAATGGGGGTTGAGCACAACGCAGGGGAGAATTTGGGAAGGACGATATGTGATTTTCAACAGGCTGTTGGCACAGTTGGTCGGGTGCTGGATGTGCTTTCTAGAAGTGGTAGGTTGGATTCCTACACGGCCTGTTCAAGGGAGGACTACGGCTGCTCGTCGTGAAAGAGTACAGGAGGAATTATTGAGGTTTTCCCACGAAGGTTTTCCTTCAATATATGGTCATATGATCATGGTGAATGCGTTCCTACCTATTCGACCCTATGTAACTAGCGTGAGGCACGTATTTGGAGAAGTCAGGCACCAGATGGGCTTTGCTAGGGAGTGGAGGAACTTGTATTCTAGATGTCCTCCATGCGTGTCATGTCCATTGGATGGAGGGTGTAAGCTTGGCACAATAAATAAATCATCATCATCATCATCAATTGATATTATCTAAAAATACACATCTATTTCAAAAATAATTGCTCTATATTACAAAAAAATACATCGAAGCCCTCAGTGTGGCTCGCAAAGAAAATGAAAGCGTACTAGATGTTTTGTATTAGTCTGCCCCATCCTAATACTTTGTGTACCTTCCATTTTCCTTTATCACCGCTATACATCTTTTTTGCATGTTAACCACACTTAACGGAAGCTTCTTCCGAGCAATGCATCTGCTGTAACCTATTTTATTGAGGGCATTTGAAATTTAATGCTCATTGCTAGTTCCAAATAGCACATCTGTCGATTTTCAGAAGATTCCCGGACGGAAGCCTCAAGCTCATCAACTTGTTCCGGGCTTAATTTAGGTGAGCATCCTTTGCGAGGTATAGGATTCTCAGTCTCTCGAGAACATGCAAATTGCACTCGACTTCTTATGAAGCCAAGTTCGTCAGATATATGTTGTAATGTCAAGCCAAGTCTTCTTAATGTTCTTATTTCAATACATTGAGCCGAGTTAGATGCCTGCGAACTATAGTTTCCGAAGCAGACTTTTCGAGAGACATTTCTTGCTAGAATAGATGAATTGATAGTGATGTTAAAAATCGGAAGCTTTGCTGGTTTGGCAGTCAAGAGTGTCGTTGAAAATATGTTGCTCTAAGCGAGTGTTAGAATAAGACGATTGGACCATACTTCATGGTGAGCGGGGTAATGACGAGAGACAGTCTAACCTGTTGTGAGCTAGCCCAACTGCGCCTACAGGGCTAATCCCTTAAATATCCCAGTTTCAAGGTCAATATTCTGGAACCTAGAGGCACTGTGAAACTTAGAGAGATCTTCGTTTGAATGTCACGTGTATCGTCAAAAGATGAAAGCGAATACAAGAATGAATTGAGTAACATTACGTGCTACGAGCACTGTAATATCTAATTCTACCACTAAAAATGCCCCTAAGCATCATTACTAGTGTGACATGGCTGCACGCAGATCGTGCTTTCGCTTTTGGACTAGATCTAGACTTATGCTTGCACAAGTCTGCTTTCAGGTACATAACAAATTGGAAATTGGAAATGTAGATATTGTGTGAGAGCTGGAATAAGAGAGGGAAGATGATCCTGATCTCAAGAAAATGTAATAGTTTAGTCAAATTGTCATAGCTATATAGCTGAATACAATGTGAATTTAAAAAAAACAGCAGTATGAACGTGGAGTTCGTTGTATTAGCTAAGTCATCAGGACAATGACACATCTACGGAGAGGTGCAACGCACTTGTGCACACCAAGTAGAAATATTTTCTAACAACACAGATTTCTCCTAGTCTGATGTCGAATCTTATGTTTTAAACGACGGGATCAGCTTTTCCTCGGCGCTGACCTGATATTATCCTCGCTTTCTGTTTGATACTCTTAATACCTTCGGTTAATTGCACACACGTAAATTGTTCTTACCTGAACAAAAGTTGGTATGATTATCACTCAAATTGTAAGAGTAATGCTTTGATAGTAGTAGTAGTAGTAAGTCTTCATTTTTCTAAACGCCATCTTCCTAAATCAATCCACGAGTAATTTAAATACATTAAAAATATTCACAGTTAAATAGAAACAGAGCAGGTGTAAATTGGGAACCAGCCAGCAAGATACCGCCTGATCTTAAATAGAGAGCCTAGCAATAGTAGCACAAAAGTTATTTCTATTATCTTTGTCCATTGCGGCTTGGGCTCCATTGATAGTAACCATAGCGGAAGAAGCCTTTGTTGATAATCCGTAAAAGTATATTTTGGAAGAATTTTCAAGTGAGACCATATTGGGTTGGCAATTGCCCGCTGTTACACAAGTTTGATCGTAATTTTCGAAGAAGCTGTATAAGCCAGCTCCATAGACCAAAACATCAGAGGAATCTGTTACACGAAGGCCCCAGGCCTTGTTTGCAGTAGTTGGTCCATTGAAAATTGGATCATGATATTGTGCCATAGGTGCAAATGGCTTGCTGGCATCCGGATTACCTTGGAAATAAGGAGTTTCGGTCTGAATGAGAGCCATATACACATTATTAGCGTTCGATATCTGATAGTTGTACAAGACATTATGCTCCGAGCTAGTTCCGTACATCCACACAGGTCCCTTTGCCGATTCAATGAGTACACCTCGACCGTTGTAGATAGTTAGTTGATTGAAATTAGGTCCATCAAGTTGATGGTCAGCGACCCAAAACCAATTGTTCTCTAAATAAATGGAGGCTTTCGGAGTGACATGCAGAAGTAAGAATGCACCTTCGCATGCTGGGTTTACTGAAGTACTAGTTGGGTTTTTCGAGCATGTATCAGTTTGTAATTTAGACCCAGCAGAGCCCCCGATACGTGCATGAACATCCCACATTCCAACCGAGCCAGGGGAAGATTGCGCAACATTCCACTGTATCATGATAGCACCTGGCTGTGGACCCTGAGTTTCGAAAATCATATCAGATATCTCAACCGATCCTATGTCACCATCCTGACCAATCTGAAATACTGGTGTTGGCTTTGAAGCGTCTGAAAAAGCGGTGCCTCCGGCCATGATCATTGGCCATATTTCGCCAGTAATCTTAATATCCTTCGGTACTTTAACAGTGTTCGTGATAACATATGCGCCGTGATCAAAATAGACTACGTCAGATGGCTTAGCTGAATTGAAAGCTGCTTGAATTGCCGCAGTATCATCAGTGACACCATCACCCTTCGCGCCCGCATCTTTGACACTTTTGAAAGAAGTTAAAGGTACTTCAGCATATTGCGGTTTAGAGCGAGTAAAGACGTTTCCAGAGGCGTCTAAAAGAGATGCTGGCTTAGAAGTTGCAGCGAAATTTTCCTGAACTGCTCTTCCCTGTGTACCAGCTTCATACTGATGTCCCTGAGCCCAAGAAGATATCTTTGCATTACCAGCCAGGATAGTATTTTTGCTTGCCGCATCAGAGATTGCAGCAGGGACATTTTCAGAAAAGTCGACGTTGTCCAGAATAAGAGTGCCATTAGTGACGCTTTGAGAAGTAGAGTACGCTGTAGAGACACCTATAGGTGTGTTGGAAATTTTACTGTCTACCAGCAGAACGGATCCTACAGTTTGCGCACCAGAACCTCCGTTTGACATATCTATGCCGATACCTGCGTTGTTGATGGTGACACCTGAAAGAGTCCAGGCCCAGTTCCAGTTCATAAATATGGCAGTTTGACAATTGTTGAATATTAAGTTGCGAGTCATAAATTGCTGGCTTCCAAAAAAAGCGCCATACTTCCCGCCGTTAAAAGTTAGATCGGACATGAATCCTCCAGATCCGTTGTCCATAAATATCCCCTGTATTGTGTTAATTTTTTTATAGTAGAAGCGGATATTGCATACCAGCTGGGCATTATTAGTGCCTCCATCAGTTCTCATATTGAAGATAATATTCTGTAGAGATGTAGCTTGAGCGGTTTGCCAATGGATACCTGCTCCACGATCAACAGGCATAGCTGTCGTATCAATCATAAAATTGCGAATTTGTCGGTAGAAATTATTCTGTTCCAGTTAGGTTTTGGAATCTTACAGACTATTATTCACTCCATACCTGATTAGTGTACCAATTGACTCCTTCTGTATATGGATTAGAGTCGATAAGAGCCATTCCCTTGAAACCAGAGGTAGCCTTGATGGTGGGAGGTGTGACTGCATTTCCGACGAGTTGGGTGTAGTATAGCTGTACAATCGGTTCACTGATACTGTAGGTGCCGGATGGAAAGTAGACCAATGCAGGAGTTATAGTAGATGAGTCGCACCCTTGAGCACAGCGAGATCCTTGAGTTATGGCAGCATTGATCGCAGCAGTGTCATCGGTAGTGCCGTCACCCTTTGCCCCGAAGTCCTTCACATTGCGAAAGACCTGGTGAGATGATGTACCATAGGCGACCTTACCTTTTCTAGCAATACTTTCTAGCCACCAGTTTGAATCAGCGGCTATGTGAGGGGCAACCTGATGAATAATAGGAGCTGGAGAGCTATTTGCGAATGGAAGTAACTGATGAAACACAAAAAGGAGTGTGGTAAAGCGTGCCATTTCGACAAGGCTGCTGAGAACGAGTGATCTTCTGTATCTAGAAATGACTGATTTGAAAGGTGATTAGCTTGAAGTATTGAGAAAAGCAGAAGTCTTGCGCAAAGACTTTATGGACTACAAATGTTCATCATGTGCACGTCTAGTTCGCTGAGATCTTCTATTTTGTAGATTAAATGCGTAGAAAGAAGGGATGAGAAGAAGGAATGATGCAGTGCAGAATGAATAACGGTAAAAGTTGTAGGATAGCCACAAAGAAATCAAGAAGAATTGCACCACCATGCAGGAGAGAAAAGCAAGCGCTTACAAAGTATGCGAGAGTGTAATATCTTTAGCGCGCGACAACGTCACAGTGCTATACTACCCGAGGCCTTAGGTTTAGTTGTGATGCGCTCCCTAAACTTAATTGAACACAATCAAGCCACTGTGAATGCAGACTTTAGGGTGGAATTTAGTCGGGAGAAAAAGTATGATGATTCACGTCACAGGAGTGAAAAAAGTGACAGCAGAAAAGTTCAGAGTTCAACAGTGCCAGATTGTGTATCTAAGTGTAGCTTAACAAAACTTGTCTAGCTGATGGCTCTATTCAATATTTATACGATGACTGAGATTAAGCTTTTTCATCTCTGTTACTTTCTTTCGCCACGACGGTGCTACTGATAAACTGAAAACATGGATGGCCCGAGCGAACACTGTCCCGAATGTGTTTTGAAAACATGCCTGCTATCTGCGGAAGTTGGAGCGGGGGGATGAGTGAGGATGGAGCGGATAATATTACGGTTGTGTTCAGATCACAGACCTGTTATGCAAAAGCTCTGAATTTTGAACCAATCATTCCGCGTTGATCGGAAAGAGAGAAGTTGTAAGCCTAGGACTATCGTTAGATATCAGCATATGATGAACGGGTAAGGATTTAGCATCGGCAGTGCAGCAGCTCCTGATGAATATCGATTGTACAAGGCGCAAAGTGGATCAAGGATGCCAGACTTGCAGAGGGCGGGTCGTCACCATTCCCCTGAAACTTTGCCTTATTTTCTAGCTTCATCAAGAGACCGACAAAAACTTCTCGCCTGCTATCTTGCCGCTAGGTTGGGTAGTGATGCACTGTTGTGAGCATAATGAGGCTATATGCCGCCTATACTGTCGGCACTATCAGGCCTTGCTGCTGTCCTAAATCTTATATTGAGATCATCCTCTACGCATATAAACTTACATTAGCCTTCACTAAAATGACAAGGTAGTAATAGAGGAAGTTGTAGTCGAGTAGATCGAATTCGACGTTGGCGGTCAAGGTTGTGTCACTGTCAGCTGGACTTCCATGATCATGACATGATACGCCACCTTCTCGGGTGCAGTTACAAGATAATAATCTCGACTGAGCTTACCGCTATTTTGGTTGGGTCTCTTTATTTTTTTGTATGGCAGGCACGGGATGGGAGGCGATTTAACAAAAAGTTGCATTCGGAGGCGGATGTTGGAGTGACCAATTACTGATATAATATGCTTATGTGATCAATCGTGAGATTTACTTTAATGACGTCATCAGATCAATGACGATGACTTGTCATGAGGCATTCCAGTCTATGTTTCATACGATGTTGCAGCTGTGTATACTCGTTAAACTCATTCGCTCATTAATTATTCAGTTGTAGCCTCCACCACCTTTACATCAACAAGCATTCATACTTCAAGAGACATTTCGTGGGTTAATCTCTCCATTTCGGATCATCAGTTTCCTTCCATGAAAGCCGGAACACAGATGGTTACAACATGAAGCTTTTCTCGCCCTTCCTCCCCGGTCATACCACGTCCACAGAACATATGGTCCTATGAGTCATTCAATCCCCTACTCTCAGATCGACGGCAAGGTAGGGGTGCCGTTCCTGAGCCAGGCCTGTTTCGGGGCTCAAGCTTAGCTCGCGCACGTACACACATAAGCACAGAACGCCTTAGCTCGAACCACTCACTGAATCAATTAGCCTGACAGCGGGAAGCCTACAGGATCTACATGGGTATCGGAACCATCTTCTTCGAGAAGCTTTCTATACCTTTATTTACACTACAACAAAAATACCACAAACTCACCGTCCAAGAATCTGACACATAATTCGATCGATAAGAGATTGAAATACCTTGCAATTGATAAATTTGATGAGGTAGCTACGATGTGTGAAAAGTCTATTGGCGCTCTAGATGTTAACGCGTTAGAACTATCCAAAGTATCTCTGGACGACTTCAGACCCTTATCAGTTTGCACAACGCAGGTGTAATTATTAGGGTCAAAAACTAGCTCTTTCACAATACATATGATCATACTAACTAAACACCCAACTTCGTCTTGTATCAAAACCTTCAATCACGAAACGCCACTCGGTTCTTAAAGAAAAACAAAAGTAAGAGACAGTACCCCACAAAAGTATGTTCGCAATTTAGTATTTATCCCAAATCTCATTTCTAGGAATTGTGCAAATCAAGCGCTTGGATGGATAAATATTTATTCGTCACGGGCACAAGCCTAGCACTTATGGAGCACGATACGGAGAAGGCTAGTGCTTTCCCTGCGACTATTTATGACGATAACTCAGTTATACGTTTAAACTACTCGTGTAGTGGGTATATTTGGTGATAACACTCGAGACCTTTGTGCTAGGAACTCTCAGCCCTCCCTAAATCATTAATATCCGCCAAGTGGGAAACAGTAAAACTGTTACGGCGCGATCCAAATGGGGTAGGATCTGCCGTCTTCGAAGTATGTGAGGAGATTATTGAGGTTCACAATGGAGGTTTAGAATTAAGAATTCAGAGATTACGAAGAGATAATTGTGGTAGCAAGATACCAAAGTTTAATATGATAAAAAGAAGAGAAAAATACAAATTGCGAAGCTGAAGATCTGGGTAAGCCATTTCTTCCGCTTCTTAAAATCAAACAATTCATCAATACAATCTCCGGCTCATCCTTAAACCATCTATCGTATGAGGTTATCTGAGTTGAATTGCCAATCTCCTCAGATATTTAATCTGGGAAATAATATGTGGATTCTTACTGTATCCTAAATACTAAACATCCCCGGAAGCCTATATTAATAATCTATACAGGATAATTTCATTAAGCACAGGATTGTTATTTCCGAAACTCGGTATTGGAGATGACCTCGTAATTTTATCTCTTTAGTTAATATCGGCTGGCTCGATATCCCGTTTGGTAACTCTGCCTCAGGCCAGAGATTTCAGGCCATAACAAAAACCCTCTGGCTACCCCAATATACCTTTGCCATCTTATACATAGCTACCGCGCGAGATCTGACCTCGAAGTCCTCCCTATCTAGAATGAGGTAGGTGTCCAGGCTACCCAGACTTCAATTCGGGGAAATGACAACCAGGAGGCGGACCAAGACGCCTTCCACCTTTGCCTGTAAATAAAGTATCGGTGGCGCTAGATAATGAGTGTTTTGTTTTTTTTTTGTTTTTAATTTTAAAGTCCTAAGCTAAAGCTCTAGGTCCACTATCGGTACAAGACTGGTGGAGCCGGTGGGGTTCTCTGCGTACAGGCCCAACTCATTCCAACCGCGGGAACCTCAACAAAAGTAGATGAAGTTAACAACAAAACTTAAATCAAAACTAAAATCAAAGCGTAAATCAAAAAAGAACCCCCGAAATAATAAAAAATAATAAATAATTTAGAAGAAATTCATACGTGGTCCAGATCCCGCGCTTCTCGCCTGTTTCCTTACCTATCACATCTTCCAAGTGACTTTTCCTAATCTCCGCTGAGAGCGAAAGATGAGCTCTCAGGTAACCTTTGCTGTCGGTCGGTTTCCTGCTTTTTGTTGTGAAAGTTGTTGTAGACTCCACCAAGGACTGCCGAGTCCTCAAACTTCTTCGGTTTCCAGAATTCCGAAACCCGATTCCTTCGCCATGGAGACGTCCTTCGCAGAGGCGTTCCTCGCCTCTTCGTCCTTTTTGTATGCGGCTTTGACACGGGCAAAGTCTGCATATCTTTCTTGCTCGACTTTGCCAATTTCTGCGAGCTGTTCCTTGGTCACCGGTCCATCTTTTATGGGTCTGGCTTGGCAGTGCTGAGAGACCGATCGGTGAGGTCCCCCACAATTACGACATCGTGTGAGGGCCTTGCGCTCTACTTCCGAGTGTATGTTTGAGCCGCAGTTCCAGCAGGCTGAAGCGCGGGTGCATCCGCGGCTGGCGTGATAGCCAAGACAAAGTTTGCACTGTTCGAGTTGGTGACGAGGTCGGAAGAGCTTCGCAGCTCAAGAATCGTCGAAGAGGCGGAATCCAGGTCTGGGCGCGGACTTACGAGGAAAGAGGGCTTGCCAGATCTCGTATGGCGCCCCAGGCTTACAGTACCCGTGCGGACGGAGAAGAAACGGAACCGATTTCGTCACTCGCGTGACTTCGTCAGCAACCATCTTTGCCGTGATCTCGATGGGACCTGCAAGTGTGTTTATTGTCACCGGTACGGTGACAATTTGCAAGGCAACCAGATTTGACGCTGGTTCCAGTTTGTTTCCAGATTCGCTCCGTGACACGGAGGAATCTAGGAGCTCTTTCCGAGCGAGTTCATTCTTTGCTGTCAGTGCAAAGCCTGTTTTGACCCGCTGAACCAACGTGATGTCTTCGGAAGCGGTACCTAGCACCTGTGACACAGCTAATCTTACGCCAGCTGGTGACAGGAGCCGGTGGGGGTGGTTAACTTTGAGGCGTAGAACAAGTCTCGCGTCGACTTTTGTCCTCGGATTGGCACTTTTTGCTTTTGGGGCGGGCGGCGTTGCCTTTGTAGTCGACGGCCCGGCGCTGCGGCCTAGACCTGCACGGGCTACTGTGGCCCAAGTCGTCTTTGGTGCCGGAGCCTGGATCGTCGAAGGGTTTTGAGCCCTAATTTCTGGAGCCCTCGTCGGAAGAGGGTTATTGTGGCGAGCAGGGAGAATCGGTTGTGTGATCCCTGGGCCTGATTGTTCAAACTGGCCGATGGCCGCTCGTAGGTAGAC